TCCCTAGAGCCACTTCAAACTCCATCAAATGGCCCAAAGGGTCTGTGGTTCCTTCGTAGATTGGTAACTTAATTCTTCCAGGATCAGAGATTTTAGTCCTCGCGATCTATTTTTCGGCGAAGGTTGTGTTCCGTGTTCTAGAGCACATGGGCGATTGAGTCGTCTTTAGATCGGAGACGACTCGCTCCATCTGAGCTCGTATAACAGCGATTTCTGCATTCTGAGATCAATTTAGCGCCCTACGCTCCTGTTCTCTCTTGTAAGTGCACTTACAACGACTACCCTAGCGTCCGTGTTCGTCGACGCTGGGGTAGTCGTTGTAAGTGCTTTGCAAGGTTTCTGTCTGAGAGGATGGCAACACGCTTCGACTGTTTGGAGAACGCGCTCCCCTTAGGTTACCACTCGCATCCTCCGTTCGTGCGCATCTTCGAGGAGCTGGTTGATCCTTGTCCGAGATCTCCTCGAACCGTTTGGGAGTTTTGTCAGATTCCCGTCGTGGCGGTTGTGGCGGCAAGTCACCTGGATCCGTTCGAGCAGCACGAGGTGTTGAAAAGTTGAGGCGATGCGGGTCGAAGCGACCCTTGAGTCCTGTGGTTTCGGGTCTTTCGCGCTTTCTTCGTGAAAGAGCTTTCAGCTCATTTGTAGTTGCCTCGTTGAACTTCTTTTGCTCATGCGTCTCTCTGAGAAGCGTTTCCAGCATCTGTTTACCTCAGTCATGTATCCTGGGTTAGCGGTGACGTTGGCAGCAGAGATTTTGACGGAGTTCTCCTCCTCTTGGTTGGTTCTGCGGGACGAGGACTCCTCGCCGCTGCTGCTTGATTTGTTCTCTTCGCCGCTCATCTTCTCAGATCTGGTGTGTTACGTAGCTTTTTTGTGTGAGAAAATCTCTCCTCCCCTTTGACAGCGCCAAATTGTGGAGGCCAATACCAGCACAACTAGATTTGTAAGGGTTTCGTGAGGAAACAGAGATTTCTAGGTTAAGGTACAAAAGAAACGATGAGCAAAGAGAAACGTTTGTTATTGCTGTGTATGCTGTTGTGAATAAAGTTACGGATCCCTTTTACAAGGGTTTGTACATTGATATATATAGCTCCCTAAGTCAGCTAGACATATTTCCTAAAATAATCTTCACTTTCCTAAGTCTTCGCGGAATTCCTTTTCCTTACGTCGGTTGTGTCAAAGTGGGCTTCGCCATTGGATCGGGCTTTAGCGCAGGGAACCTTCTAGCCTTTATCGTTACTCTGGCAGGTGTTCGGTGGCTAGTGTCATCGTTAGCACTATGTCATCGCTGGCAGTGTAGCATCGCTAGCAGTGTGACATCGCTAGCTT